AAGTAGGCACAGTCCTCACCCAAGTGTCCAAGTCTTCTTCCTTCTTCCTATCTCCAGAGAAGGGCTTGGGACTCATCAGAGGTATCTTTGGCATCCATTGCATAGGTTGCATGGGCCCAGGGGCTTGCTGCAGCGGCTGCATAGCCACTGAAACATGCTGTTGCACACTAACCTGGGCCTGGCTTGACAGTGGGACTGTAGTTACCACTGTTGTGGATGGTACGGCAGAGACTCTTTGAACCGGACCACTAGTTGCTGCAAAACCACCTGGAGGGGGCATGCCAAACATAGGAGAGAAAGTTTGCCCTGTCTGTGGCGGCATTGATGATGGACCCGCACCTACAGGGGGAACTACAACAAATTGTGGCTGCCTCACTGCTAAGCGAGGAGCCCGAAGTTCAGCCAGGATTTGTTTCTGGCCTGCCACCAAATCGGACAGCAATTCCTGTTGGACATTCTACGCTTCAGCTACTGAAAGTAAAGCATTGCGCAGCACACGACCAGCAGGGTTTAAAGCTGCCTCATCTAGTGTTTCCAGTCTGCCTAGCTCCTGCATTCGACTCCCAAGTCTAGCTTTCCTAAGTATGGATTTTCTTCTCCTCTCTGCTGCCTCGTCCAACTGCCGCTGTAACTCATCCTGAAGTTCTTCTGCTTGCCGGATTTCTAGGTCCTCCGGCGTGAGTTGAATTTGCTGGCTGACTCGCACGCTAGCAATCTGACTAGTGGAAACCTGAGAACCACTCTGACAGACTCCTGACGAAGTGGACTGTGTAGAGACTTGCGACATAGTTGAGGTAGCCATGGTTCTACCGGTACTAGCTAAGATTCTAGTCTTGGCACTATCCTCAGCTGCCCTTGCTCTCCTGCCGTTGTTCTCTCTCTAGCCTCTCTCCTCAATCTTCTCTCGTCTCCTAGACCTAACTCCAAGAATGTCAAGGGTCGACTGCGGGCAGTCCCGCGAGTAGTCCTGCGGTCGTCCACTAGCAATTCCTCCTCACTTGTGCTTGCATCACTCATGAGCTACAGTGTGTGTGATCTAAACTAGAATCCACACTGAATCCTACCTTAGGCTAACACACAACCGATTATGAACTACAACTAATTTCGATCGGCTGGAACAGAAACAGTTAGGTGATATAGTAACAACTAATGTCAGGTCCTACATGATATATTCATTCTATTTTAGATTACCCTGGAACAGATTGCACGACAGCAAAGATCTACTCTATTTGTAGCTGTCTGTCAATTGTTAGCAAAGTCTGTCACAACTAGATAATCAAAAATAAAAATAACATCTCCTATCGGAGATGTATACTGGATGGCAGATGGATAGTTTAATGCCACTGTGAACAGTTACCGGAATCCCCCCTCCCCCTGTATCCTTCTTGATTAGTCACTTTGTGTCAACGTTCCTGAGCATTTGGTTGAGCAGCGTGCCTGAAAGTGTGCAATCCGGCCCACCCCTGTGCCCCAAGTCATTGCCGAACATGCCAGCCAGTCCACTCTTATTTATCCTCGTACGGAACAAGCCTTGCACCCGGTTGATCTGGCTGATCAGACGGTCTGGTAAGCGTCTCATAAAAAGTTGGCATGCCCGGCACGGCCTCTATTGTGCAAGCAGCAGTACCAAGGACTTGCAGCCCAAGCATTCGTGTACTAGTCCCACCGGGTTGGCATGGTGACCGTGACCCGAGTGCTTCGTCCAGGGCCCTTCAGAGGCTTCGCCCGTCTCCCACCAGCTTGCTGCCCAGGAAGAATGTCGTCTCTCAAGGTTGAGCGCTCGCGACACCTCACATCGAGAGGACTCTCAAGACAGAACTCACTTCCTCAGGGTAAGAAGAGATGAAGAGGGTAGATAAGGAAGAGAGCAACGTACCTCATAAATGCTGCCCCCAACCACAGATTTCTCACCGGTAACCTGATGTGCAATTATGATGACCGGTCCTTGCTTCAGCACAACCAACAGCAGAATGCGGTTCCACCTCAGCTTAATATGTCACATCAGCGAGTTCTCATCATCCAGCATACACCCCGTATGTCACCAGATAGCTCCCTGGCGCCCCCACACTACCCTGGGCCGCCCAATGTTCAACGCCAATGCCTTATCACTGCCCCACACCTCATGCGAAGCACCAATAGCTATTGCGAAGAACCAATGAAGCGCAATATGAACCAGCTCCGATACCAAATTGCAAGGDWAATAAGYAAYAGCGAGATGACAATTCCAGATCACACCATCACATTGAAAGCCAAATAGTCACAYTGTGTCCAGAGAGCMGCATTGCACCAATAATACACCAATGGAGGTTCGTAGCACTGAAAACCAATGTTCATGGAGAGCATACTCTCTCCTCCCAACACAAGAGTCCAGTTCCTTCACACTCACACTTGGCGCTCAGCGCCCATCCTACTCCTACACAGCTAGTACAGACTACAAAAAGACAATGCAACTGTTAACATCAGCGGCAGCACGAAGTACTTGAAGATGTCGCCCATGCAGACCATCGCCAATACAAGGTAAGTGCCCTCACATCATCATCATCATCATCATCATCATCATCATCATCCTTCACCTATCCCCTGACTACACCCACACCTGTCCTCTCTTTCACCCGAAGACCACCCCTGCGCTTCACTGTAGTCCAAGCCCACCAGCTATGGTGGCTAGGCTATGGCGCTGCCCTCAGCAGCGCCCTCCTCCTCTGCACGACCGCACGTGCTGCACCTCGCCTCTCAGCGCCAGCCAGCAGCCGCGAGCCTTTGCTTCAGCAGCGCTGCCGCTAGCATGCGAGTGCCTGAATGAGGCAGCCAGGGCCGAGCTCTTTCCTTTACGGAAAGAGTTGGCCTGCTCACGCAGCCTGGCTGCCCTGGCCTGGGCCCAGAAGCTTCCGGAAGGCCCCAGGAGGCTGCCTGGATGCAGCAGCTACTGGGCTGCTGGGCCTCGTTCGGTTGGGCGTCCAACTGTCTCTGTATGAGGCTGCGAATCACGCCCAGGGCCTGCATTCTTTGGAAAGGCCCGGTAGGCCGTGGAAATGTCTTTGTTGCTCGGCCTGTGTTTCTTTCAACCAACTCGCGTGTCGCAACTGCCTGGACCCCAAATATGAAATTGACAGTCGAGGGCCTCTTGCAAAAAGCCAGGCCCGCCTTCACTTAGGGCGGGCACCTCCGCCTTCACTTAGGGCGGGTAAGGCTGCAAACAGGGGCCCATAGGCCTACCAAGGACCCTGATCCTCGCATATATATATATATATATATGTTCCACTGAAGGGAAAATGCGGCTCCTATGTTTCCTCTACTGTTGCCAGTTGAAGGTAAGCAATATGCCCCTACTGCGAAGTTCGGACACTTTTGATAACTAGGCTTGATACTTCCAAGGTAACTATCCGCTCCGTCGTAGTTTAGTCTGGTTAGGATACCCATCACCCAGGCGACCCTGGTTCTAGTCCCAGAGACGGAACAGAATAAAAATAAGCACTTTGTTGTTGCCCCACTTCTCACCGAACTTGCAAAATGGAGAATGCACCTTCCGAAAGAACGTAAACAGCGCCACGCCCCACTTGGTGGGTGGCGTGGCGAAGACAGAACCTCCTTTGCCCTTTTCACACTTGATGACTGCGCAGCGAGGCCTTCGATATCACCTCCTCTTTTTCACACTTGTGAAACGGATTCCACCTTTGCAGTAGCCGATGCAGATCCCAGGGCTCGATCCCTAGTCCTTACCCTACCTGTGTACAGTATCTGTGTCGACCCCAGGAGTTGAACCCACGACCTGTGTCTTTCCCCACAGTTGGTAGGTTGTCGTAGGTTATAGGGGTTCGATCTGTAGACCTGTCGGATAGGAGTCCTAGTGAGTTCTAGAAGTCGTAGCTGTAGCTCCTCCGAAGGGTCAAGGTCGTAGCTGCTACAGTCCTGAAGGATCAAGGTCGTAGCTGCTACAGTACCGAAAGGCCAAGTCCACGGTCTTCCGGAAGGTCTGGAGGTGGCCTTTCCGGTACTGCCCACAGTAGACCAAGGCAAGTGGGCAAGTGGCGAAGTTCACCAGTGCTGAGTCAGTGGTACCCAGTCCCAGTCAGTCTCAGTTCAGTCAAGCAAGTACCGTGTGGGACTGTGTGCACCAGGGGCATGCGAAAGGGAGGCAGCGCCCAGCCATTCATTCATTCCTGCGTAAGCCATGCGGAAGCGCTGCCACAGCGACTTGTGCGAGGTGGTCTGCAGTGAGCCCGACGACGAAGTGGGAGAGAAGGAGAGCTTAGCCATAGGGGTAGTAGCGGTCATAGCCATAGGGGTAGTAGCGGCCATAGCCGCCATAGCTGACAGAGGAGTGTAGCGTGTGTGTATGTGTGTGTGTATGCGTGCGTGTACAGTGTGATGCGTGTGGGATATCCAGGGTGATCCTAAGTCGAGGACGTGTGAACAACAGAGTGGGGCGCAGTGAGGAACAGGGAGTTGTACAGGCGCTGATGCGCCATAGCCATCTGAAGCGAACTTGTATCTGAAATGTGTTCTTGGTTTCCATATCGCTGAGTTTTGAGTGGGCGCTTGTCGCCAGTTTGCTGCGCTACCTGTTTGCATGCATGTGAAGTGTGAACGGAAGCGAGTCTGATTGCACTTGGTGGGCACCACCTCTTTTTCACAATTGGTGGGCACCTCCTCTTTTTCACACTTGGTGAGTGGTGTGGTGAGGAGAAACCTCTGATTCTTTATGACCACCCACTCACGAGGTCCATCGTAGTCTAGTTTGGTTAGGAACACCCAGGCAACCCGGGTTCGAGTCCCGGCGACGAAATGAAGAAAAATACTACCTTATTGTGGTCTTTTTTTCTTTCAGTATGGATGCAAAATTTATAATGAATGAATGGAGAAGAGAGAACGGGGGTCTAGGTTGGATCGGAGGAAAGAGGTTGCAGCAGAAACGCGACGAAGCAAGCAGGAGGTGGAGTGGGACGGGGAGGAAGGAGCATGAAGAGAAGCAGGGAACAAAAGACTCCTGTCTTTCTCACCTCAAGCACTTTGCCTTCGCTCACAACCTGGTTGAATCTGCGGGTGACAGGAAAAAACAAGCGACAGGAAATCCAAGTAGAGAAAGCAACTCCTCAGGACAACCCAACAACGACGACAACAACAGTGAAAACAATTGTGCGCAAGATAAAGAAAGGAAGAAGGAAAGAAGGAAAGAAAGAAAAGAGACAAAAGAAAAGACCACCTACCTGTGGTCAAGGCAAATGAACGAGATGGCTTTCTGGTCTCGCGCTGCGCCTTGAGGGGTTATGACCAACTCCAGATGTGTGGAAAAAAAACATTTTTTTACCGGGAAACATTGTTG